CATATATACAACAATTTATTTAATTATTTTCTCCAGGAACATACAACTGGACCCCCGGCTCTGCATCATGTTCTCCCTGTCCCGCGGGGTATTCATGCGGGATTCGTACCGCCGACTACTCCAAGCATGCATGCCCCTCTGGCCACTACTGCCCGGCGAGCTCAGACACGGGGGCGCCGCCGCAGTGTCCCGCGGGGACAGTGGCTGTGGGGTCTGGGCTGCAGACAGCGCACCAGTGCCAGCCCTGTCCCCCAGGTAAACTCTGCAGTGACCCGGGTATAACAAACGCAGATACACCCTGCCCCCAGGGCTCATACTGTCCCCCAGGAGACAGAGCCAACCAAACAGCAACCGCCGTCACCACATGCCCTGCTGGCTACTACTGCCCAGAAGGCAGCGTTGAACCCATACCCTGTCCACCGGGTACGCTGCTGGCTAGGGTTTAGGGTTTAGGGTTTAGGGTTTTAGGGTTTTAGGGTTTAGGGTTTAGGGTTAGGGTTTAGGGTTTAGGGTTTAGTATATCCCGCATCTGTCCTGAGCCCGTCGATGATATCCGCTTCCGAGACAGTCCTGGTGCACTACTGCTACTGCTGCTGCTGTTGCTGCTGCTGCTGTTGCTGCTGCTGCTGCTGCTGCTGCTGCTGCTGTGTGTTTGTTTGTCTCCTTTTTCAGGCAAGCTGTGCCCGACATCGGGTCTGTCTACAGCAGACATGCAGTGTCCTGGTGGTGTGTTGTGTGGGGCGGGATCGTCTTCTCTGGAGACGGCTACTCCCTGTCCCGTGGGGTATGTGTGTGGGGCGGGGGCGGTGTTCCCCGTGCCCTGCCCCCGGGGTACCTACGGCTCTCAGGCTGGGTACGGGTCCTCAGTACAGTGTAGACCCTGCCCCGGGGGCCAGTACTGTGACGGCAGCACAGCGGGAGAGATAACAGGCGCATGCATGGCTGGCTACTACTGCGAAGAGGGATCGACGTCTCCCCGTGGGGCCCTCTGCCCCAAGGGCAAGGTTTGTCCCCCCCAGTCTTCTGCCCCCCAAGACTGTCCCCCCGGCTACTCTACCTTTGCTGCGGGGGCCTCCACATGCTCGCGCTGCGTAGCAGGCACCAGCTGTACTGGGGGGGACGTGGGCCCCTGTCCCGCGGGCTCTTACTGTGACGGAGAGAACAACGCCCAGCTCTGCCCCCCGGGAAAATATATGCCTTTTGAGGGGGCCACCAACGCAGACGCTTGTCTCCCCTGCCCTGAAGGTGAGACAGAGACAAACCCTCATTCTATAAAAAATTTATACAGGCAGATGATAGAGATACAAAGAAGCAGGTGCAGGGTTTAGGGTTTACGGTTTAGGGTTTAGGGTTTAGGGGTTGGGGGGGCAGTGGTAGGGATTAGGCGCTTCGTGTCATCGGTTAGGGGGTAGGGTTTATGGTTTAGGGTTTAGGGTTTAGGGTTTAGGGTTTAGGGTGTCTCTGAGCTGCTACTGACATCATACAATCCCCCTCTTTCTCTCCCTCTCTCTCTCTCTCCCTCTCTTTCTCTCCCTATATATATATATATATATATATATATATATATATATATATATATATATATAT